GGGGTGCTTAATTTTGTCAATTTCAAAAAAAAAAAAAAAAAAAAAAAAAAAAAGATTGAGAGAGAGAGAGAAAAAAACAAAAAAAAAGTTCTTTCTTGTATCGTCGTGTCCTTATATTTCAAGCTTCCACATACCTTGTACCATCATTTCCTTCACACACGCAGTCCTTCATTCATTAGCCTTTAGAAATTAGCCCACCTATTCCATTGTTATGCCCTAAGGCAGTGGTTCTCAACCTTCCTAATGCCGCGACCCATTAATACAGTTCCTAATGTTGTGGTGACACCCCCCCCCCAACCATGAAATTATTTTCGTTGCTGCTTCATAAATATGTGTTTTCAAATGGTCCTAGGTGACCCTTGTTTAAGGCTCGTTCGACCCCCAGGTTGAGAACCACTGCCCTAAGGCGACGCAAAGAAACACAGGCACCCCCACCCCATTTTTCGTTGCTTGATGCCCAGATTGAAGTGAAGCAGTAGAGTCTCTTGATTCTGTTCGCTGGGTTAGTATTGTAGGCCTATATGTGCCTAGATTGATATCCATGTGTATGTGCATGGATGTTATCTATGTAAAACGTGCATAGATGTTATCCATGTATATTTGCATAGATGTTATCTATGTAGGCCTATCTGTGCATATATGTTATTTATGTATATGTGCATAGCGGTTATCCATGTATATTTGCATAGATGTTAGCTATGTATGTGTGCATAGATTGTTATCGATGTATATGTGCATAGATGTTATCCATAATGTATATGTTCATGGATGTTGCAAAGATGGTATCCAAGTATATGTGCATAGATGTTATCAAACATTTGATCTAATCTAAGATAAAAATGTCCTCGTAACGTTGCGAACGAGACTCACCAAGATAAGTCCAGAAAAAAAAAACAAAGTGGAAGAGGGCTCTATCAAAATAATGTGTCGTTTGTGCAGTGAAACAAACACTAACACATATTTTATCTGGATTGTCTTTCAGTGTTTGCTTGTCGTTTTCATTGTCCGGCGTAGGGCTTTTGCACGACCTACTATAACTGTACTCCGACTCCAGTGGGTCATGGCCTATAACATCAGAGTATGACAAAGTGGTTTCTATTTAAATCCAGATGTGGATGTTGCCCTATTATTAGCTCTTTCATTCCAGGGGGGGAGTCAATCACTGCCTATCATTCAATTAAAGTCTCCACGGGGGTTCTTGCTGCAAATGAAATGTTTAAACGTCAACGGTTATCTTCCCTTGTGTTGTCCTATAACTTACTCTCCCAGTCCAGGGTTACTTTCAGCAACCGGTATATCTCCGGGGGAGGGGGCAATGCCCCCCTCCGGGTAAAGCCAAGTGCCCCCCAGAGCAAAAATATGTCCAAAAATAAATCAACTGGCAGGGAAATTTCTGAAATAAACACTGCCCCCCCCCCCCCACAGACCTGTAAGTCTCACTTTCGTGTGTAAGTTTCATACAGGCACTTCAATTACATGTTCATTTAGTGAGGCACACTCAATTGTATGAACGGGGTTAACAAAAAAACTTGCTTGTGTTGCAGAGGATTTTCAAATATTGGTTGGCATTTTTATTTATCAAGATGAGCGCATGAATTTAGCATTATACAACTCCAATTCTTATCAATAACAAGAAAGATAATTCACAGAATGCAAATATTTTTGCAAAATGACTTTAAGGCTTGATGATATCCCTTTAAAATGAGACAATTTTTTATTTACAAAAAAAAAAAAGAAAAGGCAAACCTGAAGATAGTTATATTTATTATTTTTAATTCTTGTGGAATTCAACAGAACATGAAATTTAATTAAATATAGAATCAAATCAATGGCACCATAAAAAAATGATCAGAGAACATTAAAATTTGACAGAACAATCACTGGTTAATGAACCTTGACACATTTAGATCTGTTTATTCAACATTCACCCAATAAAATAAAACATATATATAAAGCTTTTATGAACCTTTACCTCAAGGCAGCAAGTGTAAGAGAAGAATTTAGCTTAGCAAGGGGAAAAAACCGAAATGCAAATAAATAATGACATTCTCCTAAGACTGTGATGAAAATGACACACTAATATACCATACAAGAACGTAGCTCTAACTTATGTTACCGGTATAATTTTCATTTTAATCTGCGTTTGTTTCACATTTATTTCTCAAAGTAAAACTTATTAATATTGGACAAAAATAAAATCTAGTATCCTATTTATGTAAAATGCCTTTCTTTCCAAGTGGAATATAAATAAAGACAAAGTGTGATGGATAAAAATTTTTTAAAACTTTATTAATGCTTTGTGGTAATAAACAATAAAATACCTTCAAATGACTTCAGGCCTTATTTATCATGGACTTGGCTTTTACTTTTAATTAGTCAATCTATTAGCTACATCCAGTCATAGCAGTAGCACACAGGCTGATGTATTTGATAAATCTCTAGAATCATGTGGAATTTCATTCAAAATTTGATTAGCAATGTCACCATTGAACTTATTAACTAGTTTAATTTAGGAAGGTGGAGATAAAAACACTGGTGTCTATATTAAGCGTAGCATGCCACCATCTGTCTGGGAAGTAAATTATCTGTGGAGGAAAAGAAAGACATACTTAAATATTTTATTAAGCGAGAGTCTGCAATCAAACTGAAAACAAAAATTATATGGATTGCATCTTGAATTTGATGCAAAAATTTAATTTTTTTTTTAAATTTAAAAATTCGAAGTTGATAATTTGATTATAATTATAGCATATAAATTTGATACCTTTACAAAGTACCATCATTAAGAAAACATCAAGAATATTTTTGATAAATAAAAAAAAAACATGGCTGCATTGTTTTTCATGAGAATTTGTACTTCATGTCTCATCATTTAAATATTAAGTAATGCTTGGGAGAAAAAGTGATGCAATACACATAGTGTAGTTTCAGCTTTTTAAAAATATTTGATTTTTTCTTCAATTTCATTACACTTACAAGATATCATTATGATTATTTTGTTAAAAACTTTAATGCAACTTACATCACCCTTTCCAATAGTACATTCCAGTGGTCTATCTAATGGATGTAATTCATTATAATCCTCATGTAACCACTGTAAAGTTGTGCGATTGGGATGAAAATGTGGTGTTTTGTGTGGTGGATACATAAACCATCTCTGAAATAAAAAAGCACACATTGAATAAATGTGATGTCCATTTAATTTGAATTTCAAATTAAAATCTTTATACCATTTTGAAAAATAGTTACAAAGAAAAAAATATTAACTGTAGACTTTTAAAGTTAAAAACTTTAGGTATTAAATTAATGTAGGTACAAAGAGTCAAGAACTGCACCATGAAAATGGTGAAATGCTAGTGTGAATATCCTTACGAGGTAATCGTGAGAAATGGAAAGAGGCTGTAGAATGTGGTGGAAGGCAATTGCGTCCTGTCATGGTAGAAGGTAATTGTGTAGCTAGTGGATCTTTTTTTAAACTAAAGTGATGAAATTTTTGTTGGAATCTACCTTTCTACCGTAAACAACCTCTCCGAATCCTGGCCCGTGAAAGTGGAAAGGGACTCCCGTGCCAGCACCTAAAACAATATAACGTAGTTTATTTAAAATGAGCACTCACAAAATACTGTGAGCTTCTTGCAATGAAACTACTCTAAAACTGATGTTGAGACATAATCCTATCTAAGAAGCTTGACAATACTTTTCTTACACACTTTGTTAAGTCCACACATTCTTTAAATCATAATGAATAAGCCCAAAAATATTTTGACCACATAAAATGTAAGTGCAAAGATGAACTTCTGGAGTGAAAAGGTCAATGTGTAGATTTAAAATGTCAATGTGTTAAGTGCAAATGTCTATGCGTAAAGTGCAAAGGTCAACTTGTAGAGTGCCGAAGTGGATGTGTAGATGGCAGAAGTTAATGTGTAGAAGGCAAAAGTCAATGTGTAGAGGGCAAAGGTCAATGTGTAGAGGGCAAAAGTCAATGTTTAGAATTAGATGACAAAAGTCAATGTGTAGAGTGCAAAAGTCAATGTGTAGAGTGCAAAGGTCAACTTGTACAGTCAATTCTAGTGATTACCCAACGGTGATGCACCATCGTCTCACGAGACGGAAGGATGCCGATTCTAGTGAACACATTTCTAAAAAGTGCAGAGCAAGTATTTACAATTTCAAAAGAGCAATATCAAATAAAGTAAGTGACTGAAATGGCAGGAACACAACAATACCTGCAAGGCCAAAACTGTAGGCACCAGTCATTTTGGGCAAGAAGTATGGTGGTGGTTTGTATAGATCTATTAATGATTTCCATTCTGTAAAATTGTTGTCCCCAAACCAATAGAAAGTCTCTAAAAAGTTTTAAAAAAAAAATCTTTCAATTTTAATCATATTTATGGCATTCATATTAAAAAAAAATGTTATTACTTGTTAGCTTTTAATAACTGAAACATTAAATAAATCACCACTCACAAGACATTTTACCATCCTACGATGGCAGATAAAATTTTCAAGCATTGTCATTACCGTTTCCTAGGGTAGTCAGTGCTTGCGGCTTCATCACATGATTGACATAGTACTCAAGAGTTACATCAGCTATAGCAAGAAAATAATTTTTAAATTTAATTAAAAAAATTAAGGATCATGAATAATGCCTTTAACAATATTGTTAACTATCTACCCATGTGATGACAATATACAACTACTTCAATAAACCTGCTCTTTAAAATTCCCCCACGCTATAACCCCACAGCTATCAGCAGTAATGTTTTACAAAACTCCCATGTTATGGCCTGTGTGTTGACCTAGTTTTTATTCACCACAAGCCGTGACATTCAACCTTACACACCCCACCCCCCCCCCCCCCCCCCAACCATTTCAATATTGATGTTACTGATTAATCTGTAGCTCCAATCCTTTTTACCTTTTTATTGGGAAGGAAATAGATGAATAAGGTATGGGGAAGCTTGAGATAGAAAGACAGGACAGTAAAAGAAGAACGTTTCTGCTAACAGCCTTCCTCAGCAGTCAGGACAAATGAAGAAATAACAAGACATAGAAAGTATTTTAAAAACTTAAAGTGTCTGCCCTATTCCTGTTATTGCTGGACGTTGGGTTTGAAAAAACAAGATTATAAGGAATTAATACAGTGTATGCATTATTAATGTTGTAGATGACGTGTTTACGTCATATTTCCCCGTGAATGAAATCTAGCTGACCCCAAGATCGGAACCGCATTTTAGGATGTGGCTAAATAAAAATAGTCTCCTTGACCTTGATTACAAATAAATAAAATCTATAGCCAGTATTATTATTAGAATCCTTTAGAATATACTAGATTGGTTAAGGCGTTTATGCAATGTGTAAGCCCTTTCGAGAGATATCTATGAAACAGTCCATATATATAATATACGCCTAGAAAGATTGAGCGACAGGAAGATCAGACGAGAGATATTTTGAGCACTATTACCATAGAGAGTTTTCTATAACAGATTTGTTTACTAACTTTTGATGTGTGCGTGTAGATTCCTTTTCATCATTGTACCTTTTACAACATTGTATCTTCTTTAACATTGTACCCGTAAACGCCAATCATTTTTCTTTAAGTCAATAGCTTTAATTTTATTTCCTTTTGATTTTGTAATTTATAATTAACATAATAAAATTTATTAATTGTAATTAGCCCTGGTTTGAATTTGAGTATCGTATTCTTTGTTATTGTATTTAGCATATGGTATCATCTTTTGTTGTGTACTGTTTTAGAACGAGCCATATACTTAAATAAAAGATTAATTTCTCCATACTGATAACTGTATGTAACAATGTGAAAAAGAGATTTTAAATGACAATGCTATCCTTTATTGGGAAAAGATTGTTTACATTCTAATTTGTTCTGTTGATGCAATTTCTAGGATGTCTTTTCTTGAGGGTTCTAAAACCCTCCCTGTAAATAAGCCAGCAGCTTTACCAGCCAGAAGAGATTTTTGCTAATTTTCCTAGACACGAGACATATTAATATACTTATTTATAGGAGCCGTACACAATTTCACTCTCTGTGTTTGTGTACATTTATATTTATTTGTATCTTTCAAGGATTATACTTTTTCCACTTGCTGTAACTGTAACGTATTAACATTTGTATATCTGTATATTTGATTTTGAATTTTATATAAATTTAAAAGTATATTGAAATTGAATATTCTAAATATCACTAGCTTTGGTATTAGTTTTCTTTGTATACTGGTTTTCAGTCCTTTGTTACATATAGTTCAACAAATGAGCCAAATCTTTTAACAGATTAAATTGGCAAAAACCATAGAATGGTACATAACATCCCAATTCTAACTTAGTCTCAAAATCCAATTCTCATTTGCTAATAGTTCCTTCTACATGTGCACCATGGGCCATTCAATTATCAATTAATCTCTTAGGCCAACAGTTCATAATCTTTAATAAATCTAACAGCAGCTTTTAATTTATCATTTTAAAAACAATTTTAAAAAAGATTTAGAAAACACTATTATGTTAAGTAAATATTTTGGGTATTTGCAGTCAGTGATTGGGGTCTTTGTATATGTGAAGGACCACATAATACTTTCATAGCATCCTCCCCTCTACACTATTCTGACCTTTTCAAAATCACAAATTTCCTGTCTAAAGTGTCAATAGATTTCCCAAGACAATCTATTTTAATAAACCACATTACAAATACACCCAAATGAAAGCATTAGTAGACAGCAATAGTAAAAAACATGTCTGGTCTCTAGTGACCTGCACTGATTTTTTATATCTAAACTCTAGAAACAGAAGTTATTTCAGCAAATAAATATGAGGAAAAAAATATTTTGGGGAGAATTTAAAATAACTTTCTGTACACACATGTAACAAAGGGATAAATAAGAGGTAAACATTATTCAATTTAATACATTCCTTCTAATTTGTTTCATAATCTGAAATAGATTTTTAAACAAAGATTTTATATCAAAGCCATCAATCGATGGAAACAATGTACATACAACTTTAACATACCTTTATCATATGAATGAGTGTTTGCTGAACTTAGTCTTATATGTTTAGAGGCATGATCTCTCATCATTGCATCTTTATGACACTGAGCTTGAAACACCTGTTTATTCAAAGTAAAAATTGTCAATTGGTTTGAGATATAATAGTAGCAAATCAAAATAACAAACAGCTACCATCTGAAACAGCACTCAGAATTAGAAATGATGTTAAAATGATAATCAGTTTTAATTTACTTTTGAGAAAAATAATTTTAAGATAACTGATGCTTCCATGATAACCATCTAGATCTGTTTAACATACTTACTGTATTATCTGTGGCACCTTTAATGACAATAGGTTTCTCAAAGGCATAGCTGCAAATTTAAAAATAGAAATAATATTGTTTTTCTTTCTTGGTAGACTTTGGAAAAAACATTTTCAAACAGCCATTTGAAAAACCATTCAATTGTTTTGTCTACCAAAACACACATTATAATAAAAAGCTATTATCCTTTGATGGGCTTTACAAGTTGTCTGGATACCCAGCAAATCAATAATACATTATATTTGGATATAATATAGGCAATATAGGCTGATCCCAAAGGGAGCAACATAATGAATCCCATGTATATAATGTTCTTGTAAGTTGTGTAGAGACATCAAGTTTTCAAGTTTAGGGCATTATTGATTACATGCTATATTTTAACATTTGATTCAAAGTGTAAAATTGGTAGATATCAAATATAAACTTATGAACCTTGATAAAAATTCTTGTTGTGTCAAGCTGGAAGCTTCTCGGACTTCAATGTCACATGGCCCGGGAAAGGCCAACTTATCATCTTCTGATGTAATCCTATGAATAAAGTAGTTTTGGAAAAGAATGTTTAAATTTATTAATTATTTTTATTGCTAATTACAGCCATACTTGAAAGAAGATTTTTAAAACTTAAGTACAGATAAAAATTAAGCTCTTGCAATTTTTTCTCATAGATGGCAACATTTGTGATAGATTGGGAGACCTCTTCCATCAAGGTGGTGTTCAGAAAATGTCAACATCTGATTGATAGCAAGTAATCAACTCCATAACCATTATTATTTCAATTCCTTATTAAAATTCATTTTAAAAATAAAAAAATATTACCAAATAATTAATGGAATATTGAATATGCATGCATTTTGTTAATCCTACAGACAATGTGTTTTAAGTTATCCCAAAAAAGGGAAATAATTAAAATGAGACCACAGCTTAATGACCCTTAATTGTTTATGAAGCTGTTATGACCTTGACTGTAAACTGGATTTTTTCCTTTGTTAATGTTGAAAAATTTTTGTTGATGACTCAGCAATGACTGCAATAGTTGCTTGCTTCCTCCACCTCCTCCAAACCCCCACTCCCATTTTTTTCTTTTTCTATCTGGCCTGGAGGTGAGATAGAAGTGTTGAGTTGAGCTCTTTTCATTTCTTTTCTCTTCTCTCTACCAGAGAAATGTCCACGTTTCTTGAGGAAAATTGCCTTCCTTCTATCCTTCTTAAATTGTGTATGTTTATGTCCATTTTCTTAATCTTAAATCAACTTAAATCATATCTTGATATATTTTCTGGTCCCTTCTCTGACTAGGTTAAGAGATGCCAGATGGTTGAATGCAGATGACAGACTACATCTAGCAGACTGTAAATGCCAGACAAATACAAGAATGGGTAAAAGTGCATTTCAGGTGCGTATATTATTTCTGGTCGAATTTTGTATTTTCCAGAGTAAAATTATGTGAATTTTTTTTAAAAGTATTTTTAAAAGTAAAATGCCATCTTTTTGTTGGAATACAACAACATTTTAACAAATTTTACGAGAAAAAAGTACATTTTAATGGATTTTTTGTCTTTTACAGAGCCATTGTGTTAAATCAAGGATAACTCTTCTGTCTTTAAAGATACATTATTAAATTTGCCGAATTGGATGTATCTTCTTGTATTTATTTTATAACTTTACTATCAAATATAACCGGAGTTATAGGCAACTCTCATACTTGACATACATAGCCAGTTTACAAGCCACATTGCAATTGACACATTCCAATTTATTCTTCAAAGGGGAGCGCCTTGCGAGAAATACCATAGTTGTATTAACGTTATTTATTGCCTCACAAAGTGCGAGTATAGACTAAACCAAGTGCTGCATCATTCAAAATTTCCTTTGGATCAACAATTTGAATTATTGTTTCTTGGTCGTCCTGTCATTTTTAACAAAGTGATCCCACAACCAGCAATATGGCAAAATGAGTCCGTCTAATTATATATTGTTAAACTGACCTATGACCTGTGATGCACCCTCCTTGCCCTACCTCATTTTCTGTTTTGGGTTGATCCTGAAGTGTCAAAGTGTCCTCGTTTTATAGCCATTTTCATTGTTTCTATAGTATAGTAGTTACTATCCTAGTTTCTCATTTGTATTTACTTAGTTTACATGTTTTAATAATTGTAAAGCGCTTAGAGCTTTATGATAAGCGCTATATAAAAATGCCTAAATAAATAAATAAATATATACCTAAGTTTTTGTGTCGTTAAGCGCTGGTACGTCACATTGGCAACTTAAAAAGATATCCATCTGCTAATGAAGAAGTTTAAACAAACTTAAAAGTTTAGTTTTTTTTATTATACCAGTTTAAATAAATATAATAACACAACAATATTATATAGAGACACTGAAAAATAAAAGGAACACTTTACACACCATTTCTTTGTTGATCAATTAATCAATTAAATGTAGATTGATACAAAATAAGTTCGGTTACACGTCAATTTGAATCCTTGTATTATGAATTTATCAACAATTTTGGTGGAGTAGGCTCAAGGACATGATACTAAGGAACTTCCAAGGACAAAATAGTATGCGACAGCCCCCCCCCCTCAAACTTAACAAATGTAAAAGAGAGGATACGAAGAAATTATGGGGCGCCATGGTATAGGAGAGAGAAATGAGAACGCCGAAAGACTGGCAGACTTCTGCGTGGCAAATGATCTCGTTATTGGGGGCAGCGAATTTCAGAATAATGTAACGAGTGTGTCCCTTGATAACATACAGAATACAAAACCAAATTGATCATATAAGTGTTAGTAAAAAAATTCAAATGATCTCTACAAGATGTACGAGCAAAAAGATCGGCTGATGTTGCATCTCATCACCATCTTGTTTGGGCAAACCTCAAGCTAAAAACTAGGGAGAGCCAGCTGCTAGATGACCACAATGCAACATTTCACTTCTGGCAGACGATCTGAAACGACAGGAATTCAGTTCTACCCCGAAAAATAAATTCCAGGTATTGTAAGACAAAACAGATGATGACCAGATAGTACTTCAATGGCAAATATAAAGATGTCTGTAAGATCCCCATGCAGCGACGTTTTAGGACCGGACGAAACACAAACACCAAGATTGTCCCTCACTCAACACGTTGCAAGAAATAAATGAGAGGGGAAAAAATAAATGTGCAGTTAACAACAGCTGCACCAGGGCAGATACAAACAAAATTGAGAGAGAAATATAAAGAAGTAAATCAAGTGGTAAAGAACAGCGCCTAAAAAAATAAAAATGCTTACATAGATGGTCTAGCATCAATAGCAGAAGAGGCAGCCATAAAGGGGAACATAAAGGAGCTCTATGACACAACAAAGCTCTTAAAGCTCTTGGGAAGATACAAGAAGCCAGAGAGATCTGTTAAAGCCAAGGAAAGTAGAACAATAATGGAACGAAAAGAACATAAAAAAGATGGGTGAACTCCTTTAAGGAATTACTAAAAGATCTCCAACTACAGACACACCAGACACAACCAGCAAATGAAGATTTACAAATAGAAGTCAGTGCCCCTAATAAGGAAGAAATAGCCTTGGCTTTCAAGCAGCTCAAAATGGGGAAAGCATTGGGACCGGATAAAATCACAACCGAGATGATGGCAGCAGGTATAGTTACAATAGTCAACATGCTGCACCCTCTGTTTGAAAATATAATATGGAAAGAAGAGAGAGAGTTCGAGTTCCCAAAGATTGATAAGAAGTATATCTCGTTAAGATACCAAAGAAAAAAAGAAATAGGATCTCAGCAAATGTGCAAACTACAGAGAATTACACCGCTGTATGTACCAGACTAATTCTTTAACAGAAGAATTTTGAATAGAATGAAATACCAGATTGACACGCAGCTACGAGATCAGCATGTTGACTTCCGCCGAAATAGAACATGCATAAATCAAATTGCAACATTACATATCAAATTGCAACATTACATATCAAATTGCAACATTACATATCAAATTGCAACATTACATATCAAAGTGCAACATTACATATCAAATTGCAACATTACATATCAAATTGCAACATTACATATCAAATTGCAACATTACATATCAAATTGCAACATTACGAATCGTTTTTGAACAGACCATCGAATGGAACGCCCCCTACGTCTAAATTTTATCGACTACGAAAATGTATTTGATATCCTTGACCAACAAACCTTGTGGAAACTTCTACGGGATTATGGGGTAGAGGGAAAACTAGTCAGGATCATCTAGAGTTGTTATGAAGAAATAACATGCAGGATGGTACACGAAGGTAGTCTCACATATACCTTTAAATTGGAAATAGGAGTCAGACAAGGATTTTTCTTGTCTCACTTTCTATTCATCCTTGCCATTGACTGAACACTGAAAAAATCCACATACAAAAAGCGGAATGGGATACAGTGGACACCCTGGGAAAAACATATTGACCTATTCTTCGTAGATGGCATTGCACTTCTGTCCCACAACCAGGAACAAACGCAGGAAAACGCAATTGATATAGCCACCATTTCAGCACAGCTCGGACTTAATATAAATAAAAGCAAGACAAAGATCATGACGGCAAACCCAACAAATGAAGAGCATAACTCTCACGATTGAAATGTACTGGAAGAAATTGAGGCCTTCACATACTTAGGCAACACCAATGACATAAATGGTGGATCCGAAGTGGATGCCAGGGCTAGAATTGGAAAGGCTAGGTCAGCATTTGTGCTATTAAAGAAAATATGGGAGTCAAAGGGGCTGACGCTGCAAACCAAAATCAATATTTTCAACACAAATGTCCAAACAGCCCTACTATGTGGAGGTGAAACTTGAAGAGCAACTAAGAGCATTACGCAGAATGTACAGACCTTCATAAACACATGCCTTAGAAAGATCATGAGCATCAAATGGCCAAACACCATCACCAACAAAGAGTTACTGGAAAGGACACACCAGGAGCATATTGCTGAAGACATCATAAGGAAAAGATGGAGGTGGATGGTACACTCTTCGCAAATCCCTAGATAACATCACCAGACAATCCCTAACTTGGAATTTACTGTGAAAAAGAAAGAGGGGAAGGTCTATGAATACACGGAGGCGCGAACTAGATGCAGACACACAAAGTAGGGGATACACCTGGAAGCAACTGGGAAGGAAAGCCCAGGACCGAGATGAAAATGGAAAATTATTGTAGATGGTCTATGCCTTAGATGGCGTAAAAGGCATCAGTAAGTATTACTAGTTGGCAACAAGCACAAATTAAGGAGTTGTATAATAATTCATGTCAGTGTGAATTCCTATTCATCGTTGTATCTTTTTTTTTTTTTTTTTTGGCACATTTTAAAATCTTCAACTTTTTACCGGTAAAAGCAAAACAGTAGGCTACTATAGAAGTTAATGATTTTAATTATATTTCTTTTATTTTTTATTTTATTATTTATATTACTAGTTGGCAACAAGCACAAATTAAGGAGTTGTATAATAATTCATGTCAGTGTGAATTCCTATTCATCGTTGTATCTTTTTTTTTTTTTTTTTTTGGCACATTGTAAAATCATCAACTGTGTACCGGTAAAAGCAAAACAGTAGGCTACTATAGAAGTTAATGATTTTAATTATATTTCTTTTATTTTGTAATTTATTATTTACGTAATAAAACGTATTAATTGTAAGTAGCCTTGGTTTGTGTATCGCATTATTTGTTATTGTACTTAATTTATGGTATCGTCATTTTCTGTGTACTGTTTTAGAACGAGCCATTTAATTAAATAAGAGATTAATTTCTCCATATGATAGCAATACGTAACAGTAAACCTAAATTTCCACAAGCACCTCCCCTGTTGCTCTCTGATTAAGAGTAGAATGATGACAAACTAAATTCCGGTATGTGCTGAAATGCATCCCCTCATTTTTAATTTATAAAAAATAGAAACTCCCACTTTTTCTGCGCGTACTCCCAATTAAAGTGACATTCCAGGAAACCTTTTTGGAACCCCTACTAGTCTGTCGCCTTTGCCTCCATGGCTAAGTTTCATGTGGGAGAGGGTCCTCTTTTATAATTTTCGTCCCCCTACCATAGCGTCAAAACCTGTAGACTGTAGACGCTATGTGTGAAGTCTTACTTTGACACAGACAATGATTATGATGCTATTATAATTACACCGCACCCAGTGACACCAACCTTTAGCTACGCCACTGGTGTTACTGTTCTGTTGTGATTCGGTGGTCACGCTGTAGTGTAGTGAGAGGCCACGTAAAAGTTAAAGTGAACTTGCTTAGCTTAGAAAATAGATAATAAAAGTCACGAGTCACAGTCAATGCATCAAGTGACTAGAACTAGAGTAGAGTCAGTAATAGAGTCGACTGGACACTCACTCAGTACAAAGACAAAGGCATTAATTCATTAATTTTGACCCAACGATTGGGTAAACCCTTGCCGGCCGTGCAACCCAAATGATTGTTACGAAAATTCCCGACACAAATGTGTTATTTACTTATATATTTATGCATTGAAACCACTTTGCTCTTTTTCAGTAAACGAAACAACGAAAGGGGTGCTCATTTGTTGTTTAATCGCCAATCAAATCTGTCTCCTAACGAAACGGAAATTACTAAAATTGAGGAGAAAAAAACCCACCAAGAACGGCTATTCCCGAAAGACTATTGACTATATTTACAACACCAAGAACGTATTCAGACAACAATAAATTAAAAGGTGTCCACTTTGATCTCTCCAAGTCGACTTATCTGAAACAGAACGGGGAGAACGTATATTAATATATTAACGAACGGTAAGTAAAATTACTGTCGACTGTAAACCTGCATCAAGTAGGCTCAAGTCTTACTTTGTATTAGGTATTTTGATACAGTTATTCAGTTACAGTTTGAGAATCGGACGGCGTAGTTAAGAGAAAACTCAAGTCCAAGTCAATGCTCAGATGTAGACATGACATTTGATGACATATTTTATTTATTATTTATTAATATGCCCAATATTTTTAATGCCGTTTAAAGATTGTCCTGAAAAATGTAGGCCTACAATTTAAATCAGTTAGTGTTAGTAAAATTTAAGTAGGCTAAGTAAAGAAAGCTACATTTTAAGTTGCAGTTTAGTTAAATTATATTTTATTTTAAATTTTTAATAGATAGGCCTTGATTACTTGATTTGACTTTGACAAGTGACAACCAGCCGAACTGACTTAACTGACTACTACCACTAGATTCATAGATTATAGATTCAAATACACAGTTTTCTTTTATAATTTATCAAATATCAATCAATTAAATGTATTATGACTGATTACTGATATTGACTGTTGACAATTGACAACATGACTGATATTGACAATATTGTAAACAACATCCATATAAATATGAAACAGACGTACACACAGATTGCCAATAACAATAATCTATCACTATCACTCATTGATCGTCTCTATCTGAAAATGAATCAAACACAAATACATAAATAATATAATTCATATAAATATAAAATATTGTATGGTCTAAGTCTAATTAAATTATAGTTTTTATAGGCTTCTATACCAGTACATATATATTGCATGATAGGCATCCATTGCCACAGTAGTTAGGCCTTAAGACTTATACATGAAGATGCTAGTCAACTAGGATTCAGGATACAATTAATGTTTTGAAAAGAAACAAATATCTGAACATTCAAGTCATTCATGAAATTATCATCCCCTTTCCAGCGGGGCACTTTATTTGAAAAGAATTATAAGCCTAAATTATTATTTTAACACTTTTAAAAATAAATATAATTAATAAAAGTAGTCAACTTTTAGCATTTTAGCAGTTATATTTTTGTGCTTGCCTCAATGATAGGATTTTTAGATGTCTGTCTGTCTCTTGACCAGACTGTCTTATACTTGAGCTGACTACCCAATGTTGAAACTATAAGAAGTATAAGACATATACTAACTGATATAGTATATAGACCTATGCCTGTTTAAAACTCTCAGACACTTGCTTTGCTGTGAAGCCTTGGGGGATAGGAGAGTTTTCAATATTTTTGGAAAAGGGAACTGGCAACATTACTTAATTTTGATTGCCATTAATTTTTAGAAGTGTAAAATTAATGATACTGTATAGTGGGGGATTTTTGTTTGTATTATTTTTAAAAAAAACAAAAAAAATACTGATTGTGTTTATATTCCATAAAAATTCCCAGAAATGCAAATAAACTCCAAAGCCAATGACTATGTCAAGGAAAGGGGAAACGTTCAACAATGGATTCGAAGCAGAGTTGATTACAGATCAGATGACTTACAAAAGCCCTATACTTTTGTCAGAGACACCAGCCATCATGATTGTCAGCTGCCAGCCATTGAAGCTCTGAATCTGCTACTTAAGGATTTATATCAAAGGAGTTCTCTTGATCAGGATATGATTGATGATCTGGAGAGGGCTCAAGTTCTCAATTGGTGCCCGAGAGCTATAAAGCTAAAGGCAGTAACCACTCCAAGTAAATACAGTGTTGTATATAATACTCTATTAAAAAGTGTTAAAAACTTTCAATGTGATAAATTTGTCTATCAAACTTTCTGTAGTTAGATATAGCTTTTATGTCACTGAAATGAGGGGCATATAATTAATATTACGTGAATGGCAGCAAATTATATAAATATTCTTTTGTGTCTATTTAAATTAAAGGAGATGGCAATTGTCTTGTGCACTCAGTGTCTCTTGCTATATGGGGTGTGGAAGATTCCACAAATGTTTTGAGAGACCTCCTCCTGATAACTGCAAGAAATGATTTTCATAATCGCTTTAAGAAGAGATGGGAGCGTCAACATTTACAGGACTTAAGTGCTCTTGTCACAACTACATTGTCAGTAAGTATATCATTTAAAAAAATATTTTTACCTTCGTATAACAGACTCTGGAGCCTTTTTTTTTTAATTAAAAGAAATTTTAATTAAAAAGGTGAAAAATAAAGATATTACATGTGGAATAAAATATAATAAATTGTATTTTTTTTTTTTACAAAACTTGCAGTATAAGAAATATGATTAAAACTTTGTTTCCATGTAATGAACTCCTTTAAAATTCTTTTTAATAGAAATATCTTTCAAATCATTTTCACAGATTAGCGATCAAGAATGGGAGGACGTTATTCGCAGTATAAGTAACATGGGTTCAACTGCCATGTGTGCTGCTGTACCTCACCGATTTCTAGAATCTGTTCACATTTACATCCTGGCCAACATCTTGAGACGCCCTATCATTGTCGTTACTGACAGCCTCGCCCGGTCACTCACAGGGCAAAGTCTCCAGGCGAACAACATCGGTGGAATTTACCTGCCTTTGGAATGGGATCCTGTTGAATGCTGTAAAACACCTATTATTATTGGATACAGTTTGAGTCATTTTTGTCCACTGATCTCAGAGCTTACGGATCCCACTAAAGCAAGGGAAGAATCTGTGTTTCTGTTTCCTCTGGTTAACAAAGATTTAAGCTTTCTCCCCATTCGCTATCTTACGGAGGAAGAAGAACGCCAGGCTTGGGACCTTGTGCAAAAGTTCTTTAACATGAAAGAGTTGGAGGTAGCAGGTGAATCCCTCCCTACAAAGATTCCATGTGCCAGAATGGTGTTCAAGCCTTTCGAGATAAACCTTTTCAATGAACATTTGAAGCTTTGTGAACAAAGGTGTGCTGCTGTAATGCAGGCTGGAAATGCTAACAGCAAACAGCCTGCCACCAGGAATGCCAAAGACCAATATTTTCAGATTCAGCTTAGCAGCCAGACAGAGCTGGTGCGGATGCCTTTGAAGTCAAGCTCACAAGAAAATGCAAGACTGGGGCCGACTGTCAAAAACAACTGTATCACAAAAGGATGTTTCAATGTGGGAGACCCAAACCAAGGAAACATGTGTGACACGTGTCTGAGAAACTTTACAATTGCTGAGGCTGGTAGAGAACTGATTTCACTGCAAGATGGATCTTTACAGTACTTTGCTATTGATGTCCCATGCAACAACCCAAATAATGAAGCTACAGCTGCAACTCAAATTGATCAAATAGTAAGTTCAGTGATCCCAACTGCTCCACCACCATCTGGTGTCTATGCATCTGAACCAGAGGTCCCCCTGTCCATGTTGAATGACAGGTGCATCAAGAAATGTGGTTACAGGAGCTCCTCTCAAACGGCCCCCTATTGCCATCAATGCTTTCAGCTGGAACAAAATAAAAGACAGCAGAGGGAGCAAGCTGTGGAGCCGACAGCTCCAGTTGAATCCATGATAATAGGGGAGGGGAATGTTTTCATTGAATCGGAGCTGAACATACAAGATGAAGACATAATTGCCATGAATTCTTCAAGCTCAGGGGAGAGCTCTTATCTCCCATCATCAATATCTGATATTTTGAAACAGAAAGACATTACTGGTACAGAGATCACATGGACAGAAGGGGGAAATATTTACTCTTTAAAGACCCCATCAGCGGGTCATGGACCTACAGCATCTCTCTGTGAAAGATCTTACTCAAAGTTGGATGAGCTGTTGTGTAAGAGAACTGGATGTGAAGGTGTCAGACTTAAAGAGAAGGATTTCTGTCTGAAATGCTCCGAGGAGTTACCTACCAGTGGGAAATTACTGAGCCATGTAACCCCTATGACAAGTGAAGCTAAACCTTCCTCTGCTTTTCCAGAAACTATCACTTGCAACAATAATGAGGACATAGAAATTTCAGCTGAACTCTCTGTGCGTTGTGCGTACCAAAACTGTGAGTCTCCGGTTAAATTACCGAATAAGCTTTGTAATAAATGTCAGGAAATTCTGATTGAACTTACTAAAAGACAACCAGTCGTAGGAGAGAAAACCAGAGAAAATGTTCTTGAGCCTCAAGAACCCACAAAGGAAAGTGTAATGTATGGGACCAGAAACACTCAGTCCACATTACAGAATAACCTAAGTGAAGACATTCGGTTACAGAAAGAATTGCAAGCCCCTGCCAGCCCCTGGCTTAAACCAACAGAAATGGGCCATAAAATTAATGACGTTCAGAAGGAAAAAGAAAGAGCATTGAATGAGTCCAGCACCACCCAGCCTGCTTTCAGGCACACATTTAATAAAATTGATGACATGCAGAGAGAAAAAGAAAGAGCATTGAATGAGTCCAGCACCACCCAGCCTGCTTTCAGGCACACATTCAATAAAATTGATGACATGCAGAGAGAAAAAGAAAAGCAAACTCTTGAGCTTAAACCTAAAGATCTCAGGGGTAAATCTACTGACCTTCAGAGGGAGACAGAAAGACATACGCAACAGTCCAGCAGTACTCAGTCTAAATTTAAGTTTGAAACTGAAAATCTCTCCCGTAGAAGTTCTTCCTTGAGCCCAAAAGCCACCAGTAAAATGGTTCTGTCGTCTAGAGGAAAGCACTGTAGGATAAGTGGATGTCAGAACTATGGTGACCCTACAGAGGATAACATGTGTAGCTCCTGTTACAGGAAAAGCCTTAAAAGCCCATTCCCTACACCCAGGCATTTGGAGAGCAGACAACTCATCAACACATCAGCACAACATGTTACCCGCTCGAGTGAACCGGCAATTCACCTAGGCAGTGGAGCTAATAAATATGGCACTTCTGTTTATCAAAGTAGCAGTCCGCCAAATGAGAACTATCTCACTTCGCTGGCTACGAGCAAGGCACCCTACAGAGGAGCTGAAACTAGAGAATATGTCATGGCAAAAGTTAATTCAACATTATCAAAATATGAGCATGAAAGCAGTCCTAGTTTTAATGAAAGCCGACCTAGTTTTAATGAAAGCCGACCTAGTTTTAGGCACAATGTTGTTACCAGTATGTCAAGCTTTGCCTCACAGTACGGCACCCAGGAACAGCCCAGCCCAGATCTCCGGGAGGCAGATCAGAGGTTCAATCAAGCGTATGAGAAAACTGTCAGGAAAGGTGAGCAAGCCAAATGTAAGACGTTATATTGTGATCACTATGGCAATCCCAAGAAACAAGGATACTGCAATGCTTGTTACAACATATACCAACAACAAAAAGCTTTGGAAACTTATGGAGAAGATGTTCCTGACAAATTGAAATAGAATTTAAAAGGTCATATATTTCTGTATTTAATTATCTATCATTTCCCATTTTTCAAATCCATTTATCATTTCTTTTGCTTAGGAAACAAATCTCTGTAAATATCATAAGTTACCATTTAAATTGTTTGATTTTCAATGTTCAATTAACATTTGCAATTATTCTGCTGGAGAGGGGTCATCCATAAAGCATGTCACACTATATTTTAATACATTTTTTTACACCTCACCCTCCACCCCAATCACAAATTGTAACAAATCTCAGAACAACACCCCCCCCCCCCGGCCAAAGCTTGTCACACTGTAGAACCAAAATATTGTTAACTAATTATATTTTAATATAAAACACACTTTGCTAATACTATAATATTTGTATCGGTGACTTGCTCTGTCAGAATACATTCATCACAACAGAAAGTTAAGCATTGCTGTCATTGTCGGCTTTTATTTTATGTATTATAAAGAATAAAATGTTACCAGTAGGTCAACTATATATCTAGACAGAGTATATAATCTCTAATCCCCCCCACCCCACCCTCCTCACCCCTTACTTTATGGAAGGCCCCATATTGATATTTATTCCTCAATAAATTATTGAAAGAATAGGTAGGGGTCTATATAAGTTTGGATTTAAAGTGAGATTAGTGGTGATATGAAAGAATAATGTTTTATGTCAACCATCTCAGCTGTCAATACTATTACGATCGACACATTTCAACTTTAACCCACTTGGGGACCTTGGTGGCAATTTAATTATTATGCTGGAACATGTATTTACATTTTTTAAAGGGAGGTGGCAGTAATAGTCATTAAAAAGGCAATATAAAACTTTGTAGGTGCTCACATGGGGCGCGGGACAAAAGAGGTTGGGTTATACTGCTGTAGCTATTATCTATTTCAAATATCTTTATCTTTTTATCTAGTCAAGGGTTTTAAAACTTTTTTTCAGTGTCACAACGCCACTAAATTTCAAAACATCTCTTGAACGTCCATTTCAATTTCAAAACATATCCCCCCCCCCATACGATAAATAATAACAAAAATGAAAAAGAAAACAGCTTTTAGGGCCTGCCCGCACACCCAGACACTGCCTCCTGCACCCCAGGGGGTTCTGGTACCCTTGGTTAAGACCCCCCTAATCCAACCCGTGGCTCGCAAACCAAAATGGTTTTAAAATGATTTTAAAGAAATGTTCAATTTTAATGATCTAATAAATTTTTTTGAAAGTTTGATAATATGGCATCTATTTTCTGAATAAGTAGTGGAACACGCTATGCTTAGATAAATAGTGGATCAGGATTTGTTTAGATAAATTCCTGCCAAACCCAATCAGAGCCTGGACCAAGCTTCCAAAAGGAACAGTTGAGGCGACAACATTTGACACATTTACGTCAATTGCCTCCAGCCTTCCAACCCCCAGTTTCTGCTACCCTAGCTGAGTGGCCCTTGCAATCAGTGAAATATCAGGCACAGAAACATGGTAAAAACCCTCTTTATAAATTAGACTCAGAATGATCATTATAGTGATCATGGACACTTCACATATAGAAGAAGAAGATATGTCTAAATAAATAAACAAGATATTTTAAGAAAGATAGAGAAACAAGATGTGTATAATAGATAAATAGTGAACAAGATATGTTTAGGCCTATGTAGAGAAACAAGATATGGTTAGATAAATAATGAAGTAAGATTTGTTTAGGCTTGAAAAAAAAAAGACAGAACAATTAAAAAGATGCTGCGGTCAAATGCCTTCTTCAGTTAACAATACAAAACTAGAAAGAAAACATTTTTTTAGCTCTTTCAATTTCTGTGTAGAAAAATACTGTCTATTTTATGTGTATTAATTTTTTTTTGTAGTATCTTGGTCGTGTGTCACTAAGTAGGCCTATATCTAAAATCTTGTTATGACTTAACAAAGTAGAAAGGTTGGTAACTTATGATCTAATCAGTGATTAAAAATACAATTAGGCTACTGTATAGATTTACTGTTATTTAATATTTCTAAATTATTGTGTTATAGAAAACATCTAACCTCCACCATATTGTTTAATATTAAAAGTATAAATAGAACATATTTATTTGAAATTGTCCATTTAGTTTTCATCATCATCATGTCCCTTAGTCCTTGGACCTTGGGGCGCCACAGATGACATGTGAACTATCCTCCTCCATTCCTCTCTGTTTTCTGCACTTCGCGAAGCATCACATAATTTTAGCCCCTTCCACTCTTTGATGTTATCTTCCCATGCTTTTCTCTCGTTATTCCTCTTCTTCTCCCTCCTCTCGTTGTGCCCTGCATTTTCATTTAGTTTTAGCAAATGAATTTGACGTTTGAGGAAACGCTTCTTAAATTAACATGTCAATATTTTAACAAAAATATTGTTGCTATTTATTTTCTGTATATTTTGTTATATTTGTAATGGTAATAGTAATAGCGTTCTATGCCGTAGCTCTATAAATATATTAATTGTTTTAGTCTAGGGTTAGACACTATTAAATATTAAGTCATATAGGCCTACCTATGCCAGGGCGGGACCTTTAACTTGAATTTCCTTCCACTTATATACAATCTTATAATAGGCTATGTTATTAGGCATACACTCGTAATAATAATAATACCAATAAACTATAAAATAACTCAAAGTCAAAGGATCCAAGTTTTAAAAAATAATTTCCCTAAGACTAAAATGTTATAAAAAAAAAGTAGGTAGTAATAGGGAAAGTAGAAAATAGTTTCTTAATTCAGTCGGATGTGGGCTCAGTTAGGTAAATGAAATGTTTGTACTATTAATAACGGGAAGGGGAGGAGCCCAAGCACGCTTTCGTATTACACTTTAGCCAATAACGGGTTTATTCTGTATAGGCTCATGCCATGCATTAATCGGGAAAATGTTTTATGGAGTCGGGTTGGGAGATCCCCTTATTCGCCTACGTCTTGGGTAAATCGAAATATCCAGGAAATGGCAGCCACACCGATACCGAAAATAAAACCCTTCTCAACCAAGACAAGTTTTCACAGTCTTAAACTAAAGAAGAAATTGTGATGGATTTTAATTCAAACCAGGCTAAAGAATCTAACATGACTGACAATTTTGAAAAACACTACTCATCCGAGTACCTTCGATCCTACCATCAGTGTTTCTTTTAGACAGTTCCTCCCTGGGGTATTTCAGATTTTCGGGGGAGTGGGGGCAGTGCCAGTGGCAATAGGTGTAGCTAAGGGTGGGCATCTGTGGCAATAGGTGTAGCTAAGGGTGGGCATCTGTGGCAATAGGTGTAGCTAAGGGTGGGCATCTGTGGCAATAGGTGTAGCTAAGGGTGGGCATCTGTGGCAATAGGTGTAGCTAAGGGTGGGCATCTG